CTTCCTGGTTAACTATTTACTTCCTTGGTTCATGTTTATCTTCATACCTGTACTTGTTATCTTGCACATGTTTGACAAACAAGTAAAATAAAATAAATAAAATAAATAAAACTATCCCAGCTGCTATGTGTACAGATAGTCCTCGACTTAACAACAGTTTATTTAGTGCCCATTCAAAATTACAGCGGCACTGAAAAAAACCCTCACGATTGTTTTTCACAGTTACGACCGTTGTGGCCTGTTTTGATCACATGATCGAAATTCAGAAGCTTAGCAGCTGCTTCATATTTACGACCATTTCTGTGTTCCCAAGGTTACGTGATCCCCTTTTGCGACGGTCTGGTGAGCAAAGTCAAGGAGCGAGATTCACTTAAGAACCATGATTGTTCATTAACAACTGCAGCGACTCACTTAACGACCATGGCAAGAAAAGTCATAAAGCAGGTCAAAACTCACTTAACGAACGTTTCACTTAGCAACAGAAATGTTGGCTCAAATGTTGGTCGTACGTCAAGGATTATCTTGATTTATTTTCTGGATGTTTTTCTTGCTTTAATAGTTTTTTTTTTTTTTTAAATGTTTTAACTGTATTATAGTTTTTAGAATTGTAAGTTCCCCAGGGTCACTTGGCTATAGAAATCGAACAAAGAAACAAACAAGGTTCATTTAAAAACAAACAGCACAAGGGAGAAATAATCGATTCTCGGTTTTATCTGCATTCTTTGTCAGGCCGCCATAAAAAAAAATAACCGTACGTGTTTTACGTTACAAAATCTTGCATTAATTCATCGGACAGGGTGGCCCTGAGATGGACGGAGGCTGTTCCACACCATGGAGGAATATTGGAAGCCGCGTCTCCCTGGAAGCCCCAGAAAGACAATCTTTATGTTTGAGAAGGGCAAATATTCTCCTTTGCTTTGAAAATAACTTCAGGAGATCCTGTGTCCAAATGAACAATATCTGGAACAAATGTATGGAACAAATATTTGATAGGTATATTTGGAAATATACTGCTCCAGGATTAGATAGACAATGCCCAATGGCATGTAGTAGTAGTAGTGGGAGTACTACTTCTACTACTAGTAGTAGTAGGAGTAGGAGGAGGTGGTCTGTGGGGTCCTTGGTGCTCTCTAACCTTGGTTGTTTTCTTGCTAACATTTCATTACCCAACTAGGTAACATTATCAGTGCTAGATGGGGATGAGGTCCGTGGAGAGGAGAAGGAGGAGAAGGAGGAGGAGGAGGAGGAGACAGGAAAAAAGAGGGAGCAAGGAGGAGGAGGAGGACTGTAGGGTCCTTGATGCTTTCTGAGCTTGGTTGTTTTCTTGCTGACATTTGGTTACCCAACTAAGTAACGACATCAGTGCTAGAAGGGGGTGGGGTTATGTGGGAAGGAGGAGGAAGAGGAGGAGGAAGAGGCAGGAAAAAAAGAGGGAGGGATGAAGAAAGACAAGGAAAGAGAAGGAAGCAAGAAAAGAAAAGTGAGGAAAGGCAGGCAGGCAGGCAGGCAGGCAGGCAGGCAGGAAGGAAGGAAGGAAGGAAGGAAGGAAGGAAGGAAGGAAGGAAGG